TTCCTTGATCGGTGGAGTCTGCAACCTGCCCCTTCTGCTGGACCGAGTGGGGCGGGCTGAAATAACCGGGGCGAGACGGTTCCTCAGATAACCTGAAATGTTTTGCTAATAAGGGGCTAGAAGCTCATTTATCACCAAAAAAGGCGTTCCAAGGAAACTGCCTGCTGCACACTATTTCTGATCCTACGCTTGAGCCTGCCCGTCATGCTGCCCTTGGTTTATGTTACTTCTAAATTCTAATAAAAGACATTCATTCACAGGATGTCAGGAAAAGAACAGATTCTAAGATATGCATATAGGGTATGTTACTATGGATTTTGGGCCACTGACGCAATATCAATCAAAACTATTTAATTATCAAGCACGATCACCACGGCAAATTTACTGTCCAGAATAAATTCTGACCAAGGAAATACAATGATAACCATAAACGTAACGTGACAAGTAATTAAAAAAGCCTCTGATGCACAGTGCTACCAATAAGGCAATCTTACTAGGAGCATGCTTTCCTTCTCACAGCAGCCTCCCATCTCAGGGAGGAAGGCCAAAATAATGTGCACCAACAGAAACCTTCCAGCAGTCATCAAGGCAACCCAAGATTTATATACAGGTGCAAAATCAAACAATCAGCAACAATAAATAGAGAGCAAACAAAACAAATAGAATTGTGGAGAGATGCATGTGGGGGATGCATTTTTTTAAAAAGTCACTCAGGGGGAAAAAAGAAGACAAATGAGATATTGGAGAAGCAAAAAGGGTATCTGTACCAAGGGGAAAAAAGGACATTAACAGGTCACAGAGAGAAAAAAATAGGCACAAAGTGAGGAAACGAACAAGAAGTTCATCTACCCTCCTTCGGTCTCTTACCTGCATCTGAGAGCTGCTGAAGGGTCCGTAAAGTTCAGATGTGTTTGTGTTCTCCCACTTATATTCCCACATCACCTCAGAGAGTGTGTTGTCATCCTCCTCCTCGTGTGCCTGACTTCCTGCTGCTGGAGAAAAATCACTTGTATCAGAGTGATTCTGCCTAAATCCCCTAATAAAAACCACCTCATGGAACATCATATAGTTAAGGACAGCTCACAGTGTTAGATGGGGAGGCCTGTATGTTGCAATGCTTCCCCAGATAAACTCCTGACACACAGAAGCTTTGCATGTTGGGAGGAATTTTCTCCTTGAACCCTGACATAGTTATTTTCTATACGCAGTGAAAAGCACCCCAAGTGATCCCTCATCTGCTGTGATAAAACTCAGCAAACCTTCTCAACCATGTGTTTCCAATCCAGCTCCTCCCGGAACCCCGTAGCTCCCCACCAAGGACTCTCACCTGCTGATGTCTTCTCCCCGAGTTTTGCTTCATCAATCTCCTCAGCAAACATATCAAGTTCTGGTTCAGCAGTGGAAGCTGCTGCAGGAGGCTGCTGCAATGCCCGGAGCCTCAGGGCCAGCTTCTCCCGGGTCTCCTGGTAGATCTCATAAACTCCTCGTGCCACCATTTGGTCAGCCAGCCCTGACAGCTGTTCCAGCTGCTCTTTCCGATCAGGTGACCCACGTTTCTGGGAATCCTCCTCCTCAGCTGGTTCAACTTCATCTGCTTTGAGGCGGCTCCAGGGCCTCCGCTGACGTCCACTACTTTTGGGGCCACCCTTGTCTCCAAGCCTTTGAATGGCTCTAGCTACTGTCTCACCAGGTAACATTAAGTCTACCATCCTTTCCAGCAGCTCCTTCTTATCCAAAGGTGTCCGGCCAACCTCAAGATCATCATCTTCATCTTCTTCCTTATCATCTGCAGAATCGAGTGATTTCTTCTGTCCAGGAGGCTGCTCCTTTATCTTGACCTGGTGGAATGGAAGGAAGGGAGGGAGGGAGGGAGGAAGGAAGGGAGGGAGGGAGGAATTAGGTAAGAGAAAAGTGATATATTATGGATTAAAATAGATTTTAGGTCTGGACAAAGAACATGAATGGCTGACCTATCCTTGTAAATAATTCCATCCTTTGCAAGCACGCTTCATCTGTCTATATTGGTCTCAATTCTATTGGTGGAATGGTGGTTGTGGTGCTATGTAAGGGAAGACCAATGCTTCTCTTATTTAATTTTATTTTCAACTACTGCTGTCAATACTTCCAACACAATATATACACATCACTGTAATTATCCATTAAAATCCGAGATCCAGACACATTTTGTCACATACCTAATCTCATATCTGACTTTGTACTTACTTACGTTTTATTTATTTGTCAGATGTGTATCCCACCTTTTTTCCAGGACCTCAAAATACAGATATATTTTCCACAACCATCAAATTTTGGTGTAGGTTGGGCTGAGAGGTAATCCAGAAATCACCTGGTTAACTTCCATGGTTGATTGTGAACCTGAACCTGCATCTCCCCAATCCCAGTCTACCACCTTGACCATTAGACCAGTGTTTCTCAACCTTGGCAACTTGAAGACATGTAGACTTCAACTCCCAGAATCCCCCAAGGTTGAGAAACACTGCATTAGACCATATCAGTAGGTTACAGGTACAAATATAATGTGGAGACTGAGAGAAGATATACACATTCAAATCTGAACCCAATCAAAATGCTCACTGGGTTGAAAACCCGCTTTGGACAGTCTATTTAGTCTGTCTTGACTCAGTATCATTCTACCTGCCTTAATTTGCTAGAATCATGGAGGAAAAAAGCTAACTCAACCATTGCTATCCTAATGCTCAGAAGATGTATTGGGCTTATAATTACATACTTTGCCACCAACCTTTGGCAGTGCTGGTTAGGAATTTATCCATTCAATATAGAGAGTGAAGAAGGGCGGACTAAATAATTTATAGGAATATAGCTAAAGAATTATACAAATGGGTCTGCTCCTCCATTATAACTTACTCTACAGGTTATTTCACATACATATCCACCACACAATTCCTACACTTCTAGGTGCAATCAGGGCACTTTTGTCATACACTGGCCACAACCAGATGTATTTGGAAAGTTCACAAGCAGGGCATGAAATCAACAGCTATTTCCACTGTACTTCCCTAGCAATTGGTATTAAGAGCATGCTGCCTTTGTTTCTGGAGGCACCACAGAACCATCAAGACTAGTAGCCATTAACACTACCATTCCCTGAGAGTCTTCACACTTTCAGAACTGTCTAAACTGACGACCATTATGGATCTGATAGCAGAGAATTCCATGGCTTGTCCATGGTATTTTCTTTTTACAGTCCTAAAACTCCCCTGCATTTACTTCAAATAAAATTTACGCACACTTTTTCCATACTAGCTGTGAGACTTCAGGAGCTTCAGGAATACCAAGCTAAATAAACAAAAATGAATGTATCAATCATCCCCCACTTACTTGCCTTCTTTCTAAACCAAAAATCCCTAAATCTTAGGAGTGAAAAAAATCTCTTTTGTACTGGTTGTCTTCCCTTCAAGCCTAGGCAAAAAGACCTACCCAGTCTATGTTATCCAACCAATTGTCCCTTATCACTGCCTCCTTTTTCAAGAAATAATTGCCTTCTGAATCAAAATGACCTTCTTCCATCTCCTCTTGCAAATTGAATGGGGTGATCCGGATACCATCTTCATAGTCAATAGTGGCAGATTCCTGCCCTAAAAAAAAAAAAAAAGTGAGATCAATTTCTGATTGGCCTGACACCAATAATAACTGTTTAATATTAATTTTTAATATTGTTAACAAGTAGTAAATTATTGGAGTAGAAAGGGCAAATATAAAACCTTCCTCTCCAATATTATCAGTCCACTTGATTATAAAGCCTTACACATTTTTCTTGCTGAGGTTTGAAGACTATGTGGTGGGTCACCACAGGACTCAGAGTGGCTTAATTGCCCACCACTAAAAAATCCACAATCTTGGGATTACTGAGGTTTTTTTTAACTAAGAGAGACAAGAATGTGAAAGTTCTGAGTACTGAAATCTACATTAAATGCAATTCTCTACTTACCTTCCACATCATCTGATGCAAGGATGTCATATTTACTACCCTGCCCTTCATCTTCCTCATCTTCTTCCTCATCGCTGTCCAACGAGTGCTTGCCCTTAAAGCGGCTGCCCGGCCCTCCAATAGCAGGTTCCACCAGCTATTCAAGAGATGAAGTGAATTTAGAAGTTCAGCATTTGGAAAGCCTACAATGTCCATTTTCCCCAATTGTCAAGTTAGCAAATTAGCTAACTCTTCAGATTAACAAGTTACCCCTATGTAAGATTCTCTAAATTTTCCTGATAAGTTGAAGAATATATTCCATAACTATAGTCTTCCACTTTATAGACCAGTGTTTTTCAAACTTGACAACTTTAAGATGTGTGGGCATGCTAGTTTCAGATCCTGCACAGCATTTCTGTAGGATGTAGGTCAAGGGTTTGATTTGGCCATTCCAAAACATTGAATTTAT